ACCCCCATTCCCTGTCCCCCTGCACCACTAAAGAATTCAGGAGTAAATTTGAGCCTGGGAAGAAGGGAGGGATGGGGGAAGGTATTTTAAGATTTGTTGTTTATTTCTCATTATCCTACTCTGATTTGATTGGTAATCAATTAAACTAATTTTCCCCAAGTCAAGTCTGTTTTGCCCATGACTGTAATTGGTGAGTGATCTCTCCCTGTCCTTATCTCAACCCATGAGCCTTTCATTATATTTGCTGTCCCCTGCCCAGCGGAGGAGGGCAGTTATAGAGCGGCTTTGGTGGCATCTGCTGTCCAGTCACAGTCAACCCACCACAACAGCCCTAGGAAAAAAAAAAATAGATCTGCAAGGAGCTCAAAAACAGAAAAAGAGAGTGGTTAAAATGAAGACAAATGTCCTTTAGATGTCCTTGGCACTTTCAGGACATGGGCATGAACATACATGAGCCCCATCTTCCCATTTGCCGTCCTCCTACTGCAGCAGACTTTTTCTTTTTTACATCAATCATTTTTTTTCCTTTTTTCTTTACATCTCTTGAGGTTTTGAAGAGTCTCAAAAGTTTGTCAGGTAACTCTAGATCTGCCATTTACTTTAGTGTTAATGTAGGAGAGCTATTTTTATCCAAGAGTCTCCCCAACAGGGCAGAAATTATTTTATGTGTGTGTGGTTTGGTTTGGTTTGTTTATTTGTTTGGTTTTTATTTGATCTTGCAGTAAAGGAGAAATGGTAAAATGCTTCATAAACAATTATTACACTCTTTGCCAACTTCACCGTATTTTTATATTGACTAAAGATGTTTTAGACGTTTCTGAAAATTAGTATTCACTCTAGTATCTAGCTGAATTAATACCTGCAGTGTAGATTAACTGAAAGCTAAATACACTGCATCTGTTCAGTTGATACATTTCAACATATAAACACTGATCACTGGCCATTGTAGAGCAGTATTGTGTAGACCTACACAGCTGAGAATCTGATCAACTTCTTTTAGCTCTGAAAGGAGGAAAAATAAAATTAATAAATTTAAAAAAAAGTTTAATAAAAAAAATTGCAACTTCGAAGTCCACTGGCGTATATGAATGGGACAGTCCTGGCTTGTGTCTTTCAAATGTGCACAGCACAGGTAGGATGGCAGCAGAGAAGAGAACATACGCTTCAGGAGGGGGCCAGTGGTCTGAGGTCTGTTAAGGAGCCATCTTTCTGTTAATTAGTGTAAAAGCCTGAGCTTCTAGAGCAATATGAACTGGATTTGTGGGTTTTTTTTTTCCTCCTATGGCTTCTTCCCCCTCCTGAAGTCAAGCAGGTTGGTTGTGATGGTTGGCATTAGAGCTCATCCAAGAACTACAGGAGCAGGGAGAGCTGTTTTCTCAACACCGACAACCAAATGAGTTGTTGTAGACCAGGGAAGGCATGATGGGAAATAAAAAAAGAAGTAAACAGTAGCTTTTCCACAGTGCAGAGGGAAAGAACTTGAGGCAGCCAAGCTTTTTTCATGACATTGTGGAGCTTCAGCCAAATAAAGACTCTATGTTTGAATTTAAAGATGGATACTTATAATGCAAGTCAAATAGAAAGACTGTATATTGTTGCTTTTGGGGTATGTTACATTAAAAACATCCTTGGGCAGTACCGCTCCGGCCACAACATTCAGGTATGCTATCTTTGTTTGGCTTGTGGCAATCCCAAATGGCAGTTAGAATGCAAAACCAAATAATAGAGATTGTTGAGGAAAGGATGGCAGAAAATAGTGTTACTTTATAGACAAACATTATATAAAAATGTCATGGAATTTTAGAAACTGCAGTTGAAGAAAGAAAGAATGAAAGTAATGAAAAGAATGAAAGTAATGAAATCACTGTGTATTGTATGCATTGGTGACACTGGGAAGGATCAAGCTCAAGTTAATTCAGGTCATGTAAGTTTATATTTAAGGGAATGTAATTTTGGCTTCGTGGGTGACAAAATTACAGAAGAGAGACTTTCTCTTTTAATAAAAGTTGTAGATACCTTATTACAGAAAAAGCATCTGGTCATAGAAAAAGTACAAAAACATAGTCAATGCTATTAGTGGCAAAGTTTCATTTCTGTTACCTTCTCTCAAGATCTTTTTCTAAAACCAACATACTTAATTTCGTATTCTTTTAAAGCTAATCAAAAGAAATTTACAAGTTCAACTTAAGGAACAAAATGAGCCTCCCAAAACGCATTCACATTACAATTGTTCTTTCTAACCTGTTCTGGTATAGAAATATGATGCAATCTATTGAACTTTTTTTTTCAGTATAGTTATTTATATTAATGATTTTATTTTAATATATTCTGCAAAAGAGGTAAATGGGACTACTAGTCTATTCAAAGTATCTACAAAGCATACTTTAGGTGTTTCATTGACATTAATGTCTAAAATCACATGAATGTCAAGAAAAATGCACATTTTTTAATATACTTTTAAAATACGGATTGTATGCTATGTCTCTCGATCTGACATTTTTTCAGACAGGAATAGCAAATGCCTATTCAAGTGCAATGTTTAAATGTTATGTTTTAATCTTTATTCCTTCCCTTTTTACTGTATTGATATCATTACTTTGTGGGACAATGCTTTAGTCATCCACTGCTGAACAGTACAATAGCAAGTATCGTTAAATTTTATATAAGAAATGTACCTTTTTAATTCTAAATTTCTTTATTGTTATGGAGGTTTTTTGTTGCTAAAAACTTTTTTGACTACAATTCAGACAAGATAGCAGGTATCTCTAAATGAAAGATAATTTTATTTTTTTTTTACTGAAAATACCTGCTGCAGTTTAAAAACTGTGTCCTTGAAAACATAAACATATTTAGCAGGTAAAAGTATGTTGAGTACTAAGGAAAAACTTATTTCATAATTTTAAATTATGAAAATAAAACATTATGTACTTTTGCAAAGCTTTTTTTTAAGTATTAGATGTATTCAGAATGTTTAATCCTCTAAAACTTCCCTCATAAAAATAGACTTCTTAATAGAAGTACAGTCTTTCCGCTTAAATGGCCTATCTGGATGCAGGAGTTTAGGTTTCATAGGCCTGTTTCTTCATTTTACCGGCTTCTATTACAAGCTCTTGATCTTTAGTAAAGCTAAGAGCTCATCTCATCTGGGCATGAGTCAAACCTGCAAAGTTGCTTAAGTATCCTGTTTCCTACTTTGTATACCTACGACTTGAAACCTTCTTCACGGTATTTTTACTACGTTAATTTGTGTTGACTAGAGAGTAACCTGTATATTAGGTTTAAATTGTTTAAAATTTCTGAGTTTGGTGCTCTGGTAGTTAAAATGTGCTATTTCATACGTTAAGAAATCCCTTCACAGATTTACTGAGGTTAATATCAGTGTAAGAAATTGCCAAGGGCTCATTTTGTGTAATGGTTATGTAAGTAGCTAAATTGCAGAAAAAACAGCACTTGGTAAATATTCCATTTTAATACTCGATCTCAGAAATGTTTGGGCTACATGAGATAATTGTGGTTATTTTTTTCTGTAGTACTTACCGTGGGGAATTTAACTGAACAACTTAATGAAAAATACTTTGTTGTTGCAGATGAGCTTTTATGAATATAAAATTCAGGAAATTCAAGATTGTGGTTCCCACAGCAACCATGACTTGTTTCTTGGCTTCTGTTTAGGGTTTAGAATTACTGGGCTAAATGCTGTTCCCAGTCCCCCGACTTTTCCCATGTTGATGTGAAAGCTGAGATGAGAACTTGGCTCAGGGTTTGTGGGTAACTTTTGTGTCTGAATGTGTTTCTATTTTCAATTTGTCCAAGATACATTTGTGTAGGAATAATTATTCCATCTTTTTCATCTTTGAAATATTTTTTCAAGACTAACCATTTTCCAACATTCATTAAAACTTATATGGTCCAGTGTTGTACAGACATGACCCTTCATTTTAACACCTGCTGGGTATATATGGTAAATACTGTCATGATTTTTTGATGGAGAATGTGCAAGGAAATTAAATGTCTGGAAAAAAGTCTCCCTTCTGGTAGAGGATGTAGGGTAACTCAAAGACTTGAGTCTTCCTAATCTGCCTGCAGTGAAGATGTAGGAGGAAATTTAATCTGTGAGAGTGCATTTTAGTAAGCTTTGAGGAAAGTCCTCAGTCACCTGCAGCTATCTTAGGATGCTCAACTAAGTTTTTATAAAAAACTTTTGTTAAGCAATTAAAAACAAATCCAATGAAAAGGAAAACACTTTTTTCATGGTGTCAACTGTCTTCTACCACCATCAGGTACATCTCTTAAAATGTGTTCTGAAGTGGTCACTGCAATACCTTAATATGCAAATTTTCAAATACTTTATCTAATGATGAGCAGCATGTGTGTAAAGGAATCAGACATTTTGATTGCTTATTTAAATTTAAAAAATAAGATGTTACTTTGGTCTCCAGGATGCGCCTGCCTATTTGATAACACATTTTGAGTCTCGACAATTGCGAGTCAAGCACAAAAGCGTTTGAATGTTTGCTTCATATTGCTTTGTGGGTTTTCTTAAACTACTGTAAAGAATGTTGTGGGCTTTTTTGAATTCGATGGTGGTAAAAAAAAAAAAAAAAAAAGAAGTTTCTATAGGCCTTCTACTAAAAATAGAAGTCGCTTCTAGTTTAAGACAAATATGATAACATTTCAAGTAAAAAACTTTTGCAGGAAAGGATAGAATACAAGTTATTGAAAAGTGGATACTTAAAAGGAATATTCAACTGTGGTGTAACAATACTGTTAGTTTCTCTCCACTAAAATGAGCCGACTGTTTTCTTCTGTTTTTCCTTCAGACATAGGGAAGGACAAAGACACGTACACAGATGATTCAGAACATGGAAATTATGATACTCGTACAGATCAGTCATTGCTTATTCAAAACAAGCTTACCAGACAGAAAACAGAAACTCGGACTAAATCATCTTTAAAGGTAATGGACACAAAATTTTATTAAATTGTATCACTCATCAGAATGTGCTTAAAATATTTTAAAATATAATTTTTAAGGCATTAGATAAGTTGCAGCTTAAATAAATAGGCATCTCGTGGTAAGAAATTTAGATGGCTCCCATATTATAATTTGACCTACAGAATCAGTGAATGGAATTACCTGTACCAAAAGCAACCAAAATTACATAGAATCAGGGATTCCAATGATTCGTATCAACTAATCTAAAAGGCAGTAGCCTTCTTTCAAAAAATTTGTATCACACAGAATTTAGGACATAGGATTCCCAGCATGGAGTGAAATTCATGTCAGCCCGGGAGGCCTCAAGAAATTATGAGAGTTCAGAAGAACTAAATTCAAGTAGCAAATGACCAGTCAAGAGTGATCTAAAGTTTAGGATTCTCCTAACCAAAACCCAAATGATAGCTATACACATTGAATGAAAGATAAAATTAACTTATGTAGAGGAGAGTGTAGGAGTATTTTCGAGAACCAGCTAGAGCACTGGAAAAGCCATCTCACCAGGTAAAACTGATATATTATCTTGCTTAGTAATTACCTAATCACAGTATTCATCACAATGCATTTTCTACAGCAGTTCATCCACTATAATACCAAAGAATTATGACTGATTTTGAGTTCAAAACATGTAATTTTTTTTGTTCTTACTTTGGACTGGGAGACCCTTAATTCTCCTTTCCATTAAGCATAATTGCTTGTAAATGTATGACAAGCAACCTAACGTCAAGAAGTTCTGAATAATTTTTTTCTTCAAGCACTGGAAGTAGTGTATTCTGCAGCACGTTTTTTTCCCCAACAAATCTCTGATTTTTGGTATATCAAGGCATGAATAATCTCCTGCTACAAATCTAGAAATGCCAAATTGCTTTAAGGTTCTGTGCTTTACATACAGTATACTCTTCAGTAGGCTGTTATACTGTTCTCATCCATTGTGTCTGTGGTGATTTTAGCATTGAATGTGTGTTTCACAAGAGTCATGTAACTGTTGTAAGGCTTGTTCTCTCAGTCATGCTGATCATCATTACTACAGGTAGCAGGTTAATATGATCTCTGAGACTTCATTTCATGGGATGCTTTTAGGAAAAAAGCTTTTATTATAATAGCTATCTAATAACTTATAGGTAGGTTTACAGGTAATCATATTTACAGATCAGAAATCTATGACAAGAAAATGGAACTTTGGTAATGACAGAGAAGGGTTATATTTTAATCTAAACCATTGCAATGAGAACTTCTTGTCTTCACAGATTTTTCTGACTGTTTCTGCAAGGCTAGCTGAATTAAGACAGAAATAATAATGGATGTTCTTGTTTGATTTTGTTGATTAGGTAAACAAAGCCTTTTATATTAAGTGTGGCCTAAAAGACAGAAAAAGTATTGCAGAATCTGCAGAATTTAGACTATGTTATAGAGCACTAACTATTTTTAATAACAGGTTAAGGGCATTACCAAAAAAATTTTGTAGCAGATAACGTCTGTCTAGTAACAGGCATTTGATTCTGCTAAAGCAAAATATTTTTCTATTTTCATGTAAAATATAAAATGACCACTAGCTGTGTTTTCTCCAAGCCCTGCCTTTAGGACTGATACAAAGTTTATAGGCAGCCACTAAACAAACTTTCTGTCAAAGTTTAAAGAGGAGCCTTGTATTTGTATTAAGTTTAAACAAAAATGCACTTTTTATGTCTCAATCTTTGTATGTCCTGACTTCCTGAGCAAAGTACTTCAGAGTTTAAAAACAGTATTCTGAAGCTACATATGGCTTTTAGCCTTGACAACTTCTTTTATCACAACAATTACTTTGGAAACTTCCTTCTGCTTTTATACTGGTTTTGCAAATGAGGCAACCAAGCAGAATTCTCGTCCTGTTTACTGTTTGCTTGCATCCACGGGAAAAATGCAGAGGGGGTTTAGGTTAGTCTTATATTAGAACAGAAGGTTACTATTTTGCCTTTGGATTATTGTACAAGTCTTGTGGTAATTAGTGGAAGATGCCTAATGGAAACTTCTTCCCAAAATGGATATAAAACTAGCAAAAGGAGGCTTCTATTTTTTTTTGAGATGCTTGAAAGCACAGAAGACTGCTCTACAGCTTTACAGCTGGTAAGTACTCCCATATATTTGGAAAAGAAACTGATCTATCATGATTAAAAAAAGTCTCCTCAATCTGACCAGAGAATGAAAGTGAGAAACACTGCATTGGCAAAGTGTACAAGGATAAAAGCATATTCTTCTTCTCTGCCTGTTAATGATTCTAATTTAGGCTTGTTTTGGAAGGGTTGTTTTACACCTGGGAGACTTGGGAAAAAATTGCTAAAAAAGTTATTTGGAATTAGTGCTTGGTACTATTATCTTTCTCAATGGTGAGCTATATCAATACTTCAGTGAAGTTGTATTGCTTGTATGGCTGACATGATGAAAGCCAATACACTTTTTTTTCAGGAATTGTTTAGTGTTTCAGATCACATACATGGTACATCACTTTCCATAAATCTGATTTGTATTGCTGCAGTTTTAAAGCTTTAGAAACAGCAGATAATTTTGATATAGCATCTGGATGCCAACATCCATTTTGATAGTCATCTTCTTTTCTTGTTTCCTTGATTATGATTTATAACTCATAATCTCCTTCAGTGTAGGCTGGTATCATTTCAGAATCTACAGATTTCATGCTGAAAAATTGTGAGTTCTTCAGACCCATGAAAAAGCTGTTTCATTATCCATCTCTGACATCTTTTCGTCACCAACTGCTGTTGAGATTGTGTAGAAAGTATGACTTCATGTGTGTGATTCAGCCAAGAGATCTCATGCAGAGGTATGATGCCAACAAGTGGATGATGAGTATGGAAGTATGGAATGAGTGGTATCTGCTATTGCAAGGGAAGTGTAGGAAATGAGAAGGTCCCTGACTGGAAAGCTGATATTTGAAATGTTCTCGTTTCACTAAGAAAGGAAAGCAGGCTTAAATGGACTTTGTCACTTGAATGGAAGGCAATGTTTGTCCAAAGAAGCAGTGAAGTCAGTAGCAGTGAATTCTTTTCTGAACCAATTGCTATCATGTCTGTAGCAGCAAGATAAGAATATTTGAGAACTTACACTTCCATTTCCTTTCATTCACTGCACTATTGTTACGCTCTTTGATTTGATTAATTTTTTTATCAGATGAATTTTTTATCTAGGTGGTATGTTTTGCTATCTGGCAAGGTAAAGAAAGGATTTTTAGACCAAAGTTCGCCTATTATCACTATGGGTTCAGGAACTATAAAGAAATGCTGCATATAGAGTTAGCCTGATTTACTGCCTTTTTCTGGTATCCACTGGTATCCACTATAATACTGTATGTCCAAAGTAGCTTCCTCTTGGATACGATCTGAAAAGATTTCTCTTTCAGTCTCCAGAAATGTTACATAACTTCTAAGGAATTTTAACTAAGATCTTCAATAAGCAATTGGCCAAAACATAGGGAGAATTGTATCTAATGAGCTGGACATATTGCTGAAAATCCATTATAATTTGAGCAAAACTCGGTATGTTTGGTGTAGATTATCACAGTGATTATTAAAGGATAAATCTACCCGTGAAAACCTGAAATACATTGTTTAGGCATTTTATTGTCTTCTCTGTGATTTTGAACATCTCCTGCAAAACAAATATTTCACTTACAGAATTTCATTGTGGTTTTAAAAAATGGAACAAACTAAATGTAATATCTTCAGAATAAAAGTGTTCTTCAATCTTAATATTTTATTTTCTGCACTTTTGCAGCAGTTATTTTCTGTTTTCATTTTTTCCTGCTTAAGTCTATGACTTCCAGAGTTGCTCAGATTTGTGCTCTATGTTCTAATCATGTCAATTTGTCACTATTTTCATGTACATTATTTCAGTCATAATCTTGCTCCTGCATTCAATGGAAATCAGGCATGCATGCTGAGAAAGAAGATCTGGCAATAAAAATTGTTTTAGTGTATAAATAAGAACAAGATGTTGTCAGCTGACAACAGTATACTGGAAAGGAGAATAGCAAAGGGAGCCTGATAGATAAGCAGTAGTCCACAAATGCAGCCTAATAACACAAAAATAAATAAATTTTAAAAGGAATGACAACAGATAAAATCATTATCCCAGACTAGAATGACATGGTAAAGTGCAACAAAAGTTAACTTCATGTGTACATTCCTAGTGCATGGTGCTCATCTGCTGTGGGGTTTTATTTATAAAAAAAATCAAACCTCAAAATATTTCAGGAAATGCAGGGAAAGTAGTAAGTAATCTTACCATAAAGATGAAAGTTTTAAAAAATAAACACGTAAAGAAAAATTTTCAGTGATTATGTCAGTGTGCTTCTTATTAAGACCTCCCTATTAGATTTAAAGATCAAATAGAAGTGGTTAGGAATCAAAAATGGGAAGCCTCCTCCTGTCTCCAAATATCCTCCATTGCTGCTTCCTCATACAGTAACATGGAACAGACTTCCTTTCAAAATTTTGCATAAGATCACCTAAACCTAGTCTTTACCTGAAGCAAAACATGTTTTTCATACTATGTGCAAATCTATTTTTTCATGCTTACTTTGTAAGTCTGAACAGAACAAAAATGGAAAAAATGTCCTCTGTGAAGAAGATAAAATAATTACTAATTCTTTAGTTTACTCCTAAAAAGTTAAACTGCAGTTTTATCAGGAAGGTCAGACATTTCTGGAAGTCTTCCTCTCTATCCAGAAAACACCTGGGTTCTGCATAGTACGGTGTAGTAGACACAGAAATACATTAGCTTGGGTAATTACGGCAGCCTGTCATGTTAACAGGCTGTGTTGTCTTTGATGCCCAAGATAGTTTGGATATCTTTGCATATGCAAATATGTCCCAAATTTTCTTTCCTACATTATTATGCTCATGGATATTTGCAAAAGAAAACAAAAAAAATACCGCAAACAATATACACTTAAAATCAATCAATCTATATTTTTGGAATTAAGTAACTGAAAGAATGAATTTAATAGATCTGTTTCTGGTTTATCTATTCCAAAACCATTCAGGCACAAAAAGATGATTGCTAACTTAGTCATGTGCTTAGAAAATTTCTCATAAAGCATGCCTTAGAGTATTCTTAATCAGAGCATGATTTTTAAAGTGTAAAAAATGAGTCTAGTACTATTTTAAAATCTTTTAAAATATTTTCACAGCTAATTCCCTATAACGCAAGAAGTCTGTAACCTTGTTGGGGTCCCAGGTTTGATTTTTAAACATCCTGAAGCAAAGCAAGCGTTAATTAGGAATCTCACTTTTGTTCACGGAAATAAGCCCATTATAGTTAGCATCAGAAATGTAGTTATTTCCAGAAAATACTTAAAGGTAAGAGTTGAATCATAAGCTCTGAATGTAGACACGAACCACTGAAATGGTGGCATCCTTCAGTGTGAATATTACTAGAGATGTTAATGCAAAGTTCATGGTAACAGTATTAGGGAGAATTAGTAATCATAATAAACAAGGTGGTCTTCATGAATCAGCCAGTAATCACTGTAGTTAATAGCATCTTATGAAGCTCTAAGAACAATAATAAATTATATTGGAAGAAATTTTTCTTTTATGAGACATAACCATTCTACTCAGAGTTAGAACAGGAACGCTATTCATGTAGATTTTGCAGTTTTAGGTAGTTACCAAGCCAAAGAATTTCACACATCAGACTTTACCTCTGTCAAAATTTCTGCCCTAGTTTCTCAAATTGTTTCCATGGCTACTTCTGTCTTATACATGATTTAATAGTGCTGAACTCATCCATTATTATCTCTAAAACATCTCTTAGCATGTTTTATGAAGAGCTACAGAAAACTGCTTTTCCTTGCCCCACCTCTGATAACCAGTGTGTTTTGCATTGTAAGCTTCATTCTCCCCCTCTTACTCCTCCATTCCAAGCTGATTTTCCTTGCAAGTGTACAAAGTAACTTTTTTTTTTTTTTT